AGTTTCCAAAGTATCAAAATGAAGTCAAACAACTTCTATTTACAGACCAAATTCATGAGGGCAAAATGGTAAAACCATCTTTCCCGCCCAGAAGTTCGAACGGTAACTTTTGAAAAAAAAGTTAACCTAGAAGCTGAACGGTTAAAAAACCACTCCATCATATAAGACGGGAAAAGGTACAAACACACTAACAGCGCGTCAAAATAGACGGCCAGGTGAGCGGAATTCGAACCATCATTCCGCCAATTACAGATGACAGGTGTCCCCCTCAAGTCAGTTTGCACAACCCGTCCGCCCGATTTTAAGACTCAAAGTCCATTGAGTAAAATCTGGCGGGCTAAATAAGGCAGATAGCCCAAACGAGAAATCCTTCTGATGGACGGACGGCAACGTCCGTTTTCCACCAATGATAATGCTCCATCAGCCCGACACTCGGACGACACCGGACAAGTAAAAGATCAGAGGAGGCAGCTCATATGGTATGAGTCACCCCCTCTAAGGGGCAAATGTTTTGGGTAAAAAATACCCCAACACGTCGCCCAATCCCATAGAGACACGTGGCCCAATTAAAGGGCAACACGTGTCAAGAGCACCTGAAATGAGAGAAAAGGAGCTCCTTACATCAGGAGGCCCAAATCCCGAGAAATCCGTAAAACGGCACCCATATAGACATGTGCCTTCACCTGATTGCGCCGCCAATCAGAGCACACCATCCTAGGTTATCAAACCCTAGAGGGAACACTTTCCCACCCCTATAAATACCCCAATCATTTATGATGGGAGGGGTGGATCAAGACATATCATTCTAAGAGCATTGAAAGCTCCAACTTCTCTCTAAATTTATTCATTTTCTGATCACTAACTTGATTGTCAGAGGCGAATATTCCGTCAATCGGTATATTCGTTGTTTTGCAGGTGTCCGCGTCCATCCGGTTGTGTTCAAGAACAGTATCCCAGGGATTCCAAAAAACCCCGAAACACTATTGTTATGTGAAACACTATGTTCTTCTGGCCCTGATTTCTGAAAATTAGAGTGCCTTTGTTCCTGGTAGATTAATTACTAACAATGCTTTGATCGCTTTGGAGGTTTTTCATACTATGAAAAAGAGAAGTAGAGGGAGAAAGGGCACTATTGGTTTGAATCTTGACATGAGTAAGGTGTATGACAGGGTGGAATGGTCGTTTCTGAGATTTGCTTGTCAGTCTCGGATCTGTGAAGAGTTGGGTTCTTTTGGTTATGAGATGTGTGACGATAGTTTCTTACTCCTTCATTATTAACGGTTCTCCGTGTGGTAATGTATTTCCCTCTAGGGGTCTTTGACAGGGCGACCCTCTTTCTCCGTACTTGTTCATTTTGATTGTTGATGCTCTTTCTTGTTTTCTCCGTAAAGCGGTTGAAGATAATGTGATACATGGGGCCAAGGCTAACAGAAGAGTCCCTTCGATATCACATCTTCTTTTGCTAATATCAGTTTTCTTTTTGCAAGGGCCAACCAAAGGGAATGCTCCAAAATAGTTAAACTTCTCTACACATACGAAGCAGCTTCCGGACAGAAAATTAACTATGAAAAATCGAAAGTCTCTTTTAGTAAAAGCGTGTGTGAGTCAAAGCAAGAGGAACTGATTGAGCTTTTGGGCATGAAAAAAGTGGATAAACATGAGAAGTATCTGGGAATCCCTACCATCATTGGTAGGTTGAAAAGAGCAACTTTCAATGTTTTGAAGGATAGACTTTGGAAGAAAATGCCGGGATGGAAGGAGAAGCTTCTCTCTCGAGCCGGGAAGGAAATTCTTATTAAATAAGTAATTCAAGCAATTCCTACTTATTTAATGGGGGTTTACAGACTTCCGGCAAGTGTTATTGATGATATCCGGTCTATGACGGTGAGGTTATGGTGGGGTCAGTCGGATCAAAGAAGGAAAGTACATTAGGTGAATTGGGACTCTCTTTATGCTTCGAAGTGCTTAGGGGACATGGGGTTCCGGGACATGGGTATCTTTAATCTTGCTCTTCTTGGAATGCAAGCTTGGCGTCTTTTAAAACACCCGGAGTCTCTTCTTGGTAGAGTCATGGCAGCAAAGTATCATCCAAATTCTAATTTTTTGGACTCTTCACTCGGTACCTCTGGCAGTTACCCTTGGTCTAGCAGTTGGGCCTCGAAATCCTAGCTGAAAGAAGGTCTAATATGGAGGGTAGGAAATGGGGATCGCATCAATATTTGGGACGAACCCTGGGTGGCGGATGAGCAGGGTATTTTGCTTAATTTGGATTGAACCCTATAGATAGAGAAGGTTAGGGATATCACTGATTTGAGCAGGGGATAGTGGAGGTATGACTTCATTTCGGAGAGTTTTTATGAGCGGGATGTGAAGTGTATTATGTTGATTCCTCTCAGTTTTCGTTCACCTATTGATAAGCTAACATGGGCTTTTTCAAAAAAGGGGTCATACTATGTGAAAACAACTTATTTTATGGGCAAATCTTGCAATCTTGATGCTTTTCACAAGGCTTGGGTGATTATTTGGGGGTTAGAGGTTACTCCAAATGTTCGTCGCTTCTTATGGAGGGCATGCATGGGTACTCTTGCAGTGAGGGCATACCTACACTTCTGTCACATGTCTTTGGTTGTTAACTGTCCTTGGTGTGTTGACAAAACCGAGTATTTGAGGCATGTTTTCTTTGAATGTGATGTTGTCAGGGATCTGTGGAGAGGTGTAGGGTGTGGGGTGTGATCAACTCAAGTGGGATAAGGGTGCTTCGTTTGCTGACATGATTGTATCTTGGAAGGAGTCTTCCTCTTCCTTATGTCATATTGGAGCAATTTTGAATGTGGAAAATTTGGGGGAGGAGAAATGACAAAGTGTTCAAGAATGTAGAAGTGCCCCACCAAACTGTGATAGAGCGCACCAAGAGACTTTGAAGTGACCTCATGACTTATGCTGTGAGGATTTATGGTGGAATTTGCCCCCCTTCATTGTACAACATTCCAAAGGTATGGAAGCCCCCCTGATGATATTGTCAAGGTGAATTGTGATGCGAGTTTGGATGCGCAAGACTGGGTAGGGTAGGGTGTTGTGGCCCGAGACTCTGCTAGGGTCATTCTATTTGCAGCTACTAGGAGAGTTAAGGGATTTTAGGATCCGATTGTGGTTGAAGGCAAGGCAATGGTCATGGCAGTCAGGCTTGCTCGCAAGTTTGGTTTCAAGAAGGTGATTTTTGAATCGGACAACATCTCGCTTGTCACTCGTCTCTCCAAAGCTTCTATCCATATCACTAACTTGGATGCTATCCTAGAAGATATTTTTTCGCTTCATGTTTTGATTATATTCTTTGGCCGCATGTTAAAAGGGATGGTAATTGTGTTACCCATCACCTTGCTCGTTTATTTCCGTTTGGTGTTGAACAGGTTTGGGTAAATCATAGTCCTTGTGATATTTCCCCATATGTTTTGATGAACACTTTGTCCTTTAATAATGCAAGCTTCGGTTTGTTTCAAAAAAAAAAAACAAGTTATGTATTGAATGATACTAGGTTGGTGATTGGGTTGTTATTTTGCTCAATAGTATACAAAATAGCTTAATTGCTTGCTTTGTCGGATAGAGTATGAAAATTCAACCATTGATGTTAGACCTTTCTATCATTGAATTGTTGCAATCACATTTAAAAGGAAAAATTACGAGGAAGGTCCTTTTAAGGTGACGACCTTGTGAGGAAGGTCCTTTCATGAACAAAGTGGTGAGGAAGGTCCTTTTAAGGCATTTGGGTTGTGAGGAGGGTCCATTGACCAGAACTCCGGCGTTGACTCCCATTTTTCGGCTAAAATAAAATCACGTGCAGGGCATATGGCTTTTTAAGAAATTTTTTTTTATTTTTTATTTTTCCCCTTTCCCCCTTCTTCCTCGATTTCCCCTTTTACTCTACCATTTCATCCTTATAGAACCCTAATTTGCGAACCAAACTCATATTTCTAACCAGAAAGTACAATTGAAGGCCAATTGAAGGCATTCAACGCGAGTCGAACAATGTAAGGTGACAATCCCACTTCAATTTCAAGTTTACTTTTGCAAATTGAAATTTATCTTTATTTATTCTTCTTTGTAGTTGCGCAGTTAATGAAGAAGTGTAATTGTGGTGTTCCTGTTTTCAAAAGAACATCGTGGACCCATGAAAACCCAGGAAGAAGATTTTGGTGTTGCAAATTCTTCGATTTTGAAATAATGCAAAGTGGGTGTGATTATTTCAAGTGGTTTGACAGTGACATGGTTGATTGGCAGAAGGATGTGATAAATGTGTTGTTGGCTGAGAAACACAAGATGGCCACTGACCAAAATCTCCTAAAGGCAAGGGTGACATGTTTGGAGCATGAGAACAAAAGACTCACTGAGCAAGTTCAGCAAATGCCTAGAAAGCCAATTGCAAACAGGGTTGGTGATGGTGTGATTAGTAATGATCCGTTGTTCATTTTACTGGTTTTGTGTGCAATTGTATCAGTGTTGGCTAGTACAATAGTTGTGAAACTGTTTGGTTGAAGGATGTATTAGTTGTTTAGGCATGTTGTGCTAGTGGGAAATTTGTAAAGAACCAATTTGGTTGTTATTGTTATCAATGAGAAATGAATGAACACATTTTTGGAACTAAAATGCTTCAATATTCTTGTGTAATTCATTCCAAAGCATTCAAAATACAACACATAAGTTCCAAAATGCTACCTAAGTTCCAAAATGCTGTTAAACATGTCCATACATAAACATAAAAGTCACTTACACATAAGTGACATACAAAACAGGAAAGCTAATTTAAGCTAACACAACTAAGACTTAGAAGCTGATCGCAGTATCCTACTCATTGAGGTGTTGTTCTGCTTCCTGGCCTTAGCAGCAGGGACCTTCTCTTTTCCCTTTGCTTGAGTTGATGCATCTGCAGTTGGTTGGGAAGGTTGTGTTGATGCTTGAGACAGAGGTGGACCTTGAGACAGTGACAGTGACTGTGATTGTGGCTGCTATGAGGTTGCTGCAGTAGATGTTTGTGCTGTTGAGGTTGCTACCCCCTTTTGCTTCCTAGGCCTGCCACCTTTGTTTTCAGGAGGTGGTGGTTTTAGAGGCCTGAAACACTTCTTGGCATTGTGCCCTTTTCCACCACATCTGCAACATGTGTGTGGCTTCCTTGCTCTCTTCACATTCTTCCTTGTTCCCTCTCCCTGTGCTTTCTTCCTTTTCTTTTTAGAAGGTCTACCTGGCATGACTTTGAAAACAGGGGTCAGAGGCTGAGGCATAGCAGACTTATCCCATTGGTTATGTCCTGGCATTGCATGAAATGCTGGAGCATAAGTGGCAATATGATAGGCTGGGTGTACAAAATCTTCATAGTTGAGTCTTCTTTTGGCTATGCAAGCTAATGCATGCCAACATGGGATACCCATCAAAGTCCACCTATAGCATCCACAAGTCTTTTGTTCAAGATTAACAACAAATGTCTCTTGTTCATCATCCACCTCAAATTCATGCAGATCTTCTTGAATAATTCTCATGTTCCAAATCTGTTTCTGCCCTCTCTCAATCATCTTCACAACTGATGGCATGATTAAACCTTCAAAATCTTTTGAGCCTTCTCTCTTAGCACAGCTACTTTTCATGACATATCTCTTGACCCACTCCATTAAAGACAAGATTGGCTTTGTCCTAGCTTCCCTGAGGACATTGTTGAAGCTTTCACAGCAGTTGTTTAGCAGCATCCCTGACTTTGCCCTTGGACTAAAGCCATGTCTAGACCAGTGACAAACTGGTATCTCAGACAGATATTGAAAAGCATCCTCACTTAACTTCCTAATCTCTTGCATATGGTTGTCAAATTGATGCTACATGCAAAAAACAACCACATCAGTACATGTATACAGTATGAGCTTAAAATTCAATTGGTGGAAACAAATTAATAAGGCATTCAAACCTTAGTAGAACTCCTTGCAGCCTTCCAGAAGCTCTCTTTGTATATCTGACCTGGGAATTTGAGCTTAAAATTTGCCCAAATATGTCTGCAACAAAATATTGTTTCTGCATTTGGAATGACTGTGTTGAAAGCATCAAGCAGGCTCTACAATTACAAGCACAGAACAATGTCAATAATTTGCACAGATCATGAAGGTGGCAATTTCAGTAAAGCATAGAAGTTACCTTTTGTCTATCACTCATGAAGGTAACTGGATCTTCATGCTCATGCACCCAAGTCACTGATGCAGCAACAGATCTTATGTCATTCACCAGCAACTCAAGAAACCAAGTCCAGGTTTCTGAGCTCTCTGTCTCTACAATAGCCCAAGTAACTGGGAAAATATTGTTGTTACCATCTTTGGCAATAGCAGTAAGCAAAATCCCAGGCCAAGGTCCTTTCAGATGACACCCATCTACACCTAAAATGGGCCTACAACCAGCCATGAATCCCTCTTTACATGGTTGCAAGCAAATGTACATTCTCTGGAAAATTGGTGGAGGGTTGTCTATCCCCTGTACCTTCACAACTGCAGTGCTACCTGGAATCCACCTTCTGATTGCTTCAACATAATCCAATACTCTGTTATATTCTTCTGCTGCATTCCCATGAATCATTTGCAATGCCATTTTTTTGCATAATAACACTTGTAATACCCAACTTCTACACCTAGTTCTCTTCTCACTCTCTTCATGAAAGCATTCATTTTATATGTGGGGTCATCCCTCCAATGCTCCAAATATCTCTCAGCCAGATATGCACTAGTAACATGTGCATTTATATGCTGATGCCCACACTTATGTTCCAGCATAAAACTTTTAATTTGAAAAGTCTCCTCATCTTTCAATTTCCTAGCATGTATTCTAAACAAACACTTCCTTCTAGTTGGACAGTCACAAGCAAAAAAATTTCCAGAAACAAAATTACATGCACACCTTTTAGCATAGAACACAGTTATCCTCTTACTCTTGTTGTGCAAAAACATGTAACTGTATCCATTCTCTATTGCATGGTGTCTTAATGTCTTTCTAAACACCTCATTTGAAGCAAACTTCAACCCAGCAGTAAGGTTAATCTTACTCTTGAAATCAACATCAGGGTTAAAAACAGGGTACCTAACTTCATCATCATCTGAACCAGCTGGACTATCCAACTCATCCTGACTATCATTCAAGTCATCATCATCTTCAACTTATACTTCACCCTCACCATCACCTCTATGACTGTTCTGCTGCCTATTTTGAACACCCACCAAATTTCTGTTCATATCTTCAGTTATATCATCATCAACATTGGCAGCAAAAAGGTCATCATCACTGTCATCTTCAAAATCAAGATCACTCAAAACCACATCATCATCCTTATTTCCATCACTGTGAATAGCAGAATTCTCTTCATCTACTTCTGGAATGGATTCAAGAGAAACAGGTGGTTGTTGAGTGTATTTGAGGACCAACTTCCTTTTTTTTTGGTTCTCGGTTGAAGAAGGGCTAGGTATGTTTATCAACTGAGAGGCACCGGTTTCAATTATGTTGAAGACAGGGCTGTGGGAAGAACTGGGAATGGGGGGGCTTATATTTCCAGATCTAGGGTTCCTGCATTCAACAGCATGTGCTCCCTCCTTTAATCCACTCTTTTTTTGTCCTATGTCATCACTTTGACCTGACTGTGACTCACCCCCAACAAATCCCTTTTCCTTATCCCCTGATGTGGCAACTGAGTCAGCAGATAAATAACTACCTAATGATGTGGACCCCCCCCCCCTTAGATTCTGTATTAGTATAGAATCCCACACCTGGACCATATATAGCACTCCTGGTGTCTACAAATTTAGGCACATGTATCAAATAAAGATGATACCATCCATCTTTCTCAGGTGCACACAAGGACTCTAGGCTGTCATTATCATCTTTCAACCTCTCCTTCCCTGTGAATAAGTTGTACCCATGCTTCCTAAACCATAACTCACCAATTTTAGTGTACCCTAATTCCTTCTTAACCCAGACCACAAATTTAAAGTAACACACTTCCTCAACATTAGGGTGCAAAGCCAGACCATAATACTCACTATCACCATACTCATAAGTTGTTTTCCTCTTTCTAGTCACAAAACTACCACCATAATATAGTCTTATGTTAATTGGCTTCGACATTTTCAACACTTCAATTGGGCAATTAAACTTGAACAACCAATCACATAAACTAGCATCTAAGTACGAGATTAAACACAATCCACAAAGCAGATACAGGGTTCCGCATTTTATGAAAAAACACAACAGAAGGAAACAAATTCAACACAGTAACAACATCCAACGACTAATACACATATTTAATTAGGTAATTAACCCAAATTGTTTGTCTTTTTCCCAACATTGATTATTTTAATACGCAATTTGCACTCAACAAAATTAAAAAAATTCGGAAAAACGTACCTGAGCCTAGTTATGCGCTTGAATGAAAAGATGTTGGCCTTACTTTTCCCTTTTGACTTGCTTTTGCGTCCTGGGTTGTTCTTCACCATTTTTACAGAACAAATTAGAAATTTTGGAAATAAAATTTTGCAAATTTTCACTACTTTGAAAGAGACATAACACCAAGGGAGTTAAGGCTTACCACAGAGACAGCACACCTGGTTAATATCCTGCCAAATTGCAATTCGCCATTAATTCGCCATTAATGGTGGGTGGCTTCTTGTCATGTCAAAGTGTCGTGGATGAACAAGAAAAGGGAAAAAAGGGAAATCGAGGAAGAAGGGGGAAAGGGGAAAAATAAAAATATAAAAAAAAAATCTTAAGAAGTCACGTGCCCTGCACGTGATTTTATTTTGGCCAGAAAATAGGAGTCAACGCCGGAGTTCTGGTCAACGGACCCTCCTCACAACCCAAATGTCTTAAAAGGACCTTCCTCACCACTTTGTTCATAAAAGGACCTTCCTCACCACTTTGTTCATAAAAGGACTTTCCTCACAAGGTCGTCACCTTAAAAGGACCTTCCTCGCAATTTTTCCTATTTAAAATTATGATTACATATTTAGAACCTAACAAATCAAGACATATATAACAAGATTTCTTGTGACCGTTTAGATGTATAAATTAAAAAATAAATAAATAAACCAATCATTAAAGTATTATATTTTTTGTGTTTCTTTATAATTGCAATATAATACCGTCACGTTTGTCAATGCTTGAATTCATTTACAAGTATCTATATTTATCAATAAAAAAAATATATTAAGGTGCTTAGTCAGTTATTTATTTATAATTTTTAATAATTATGGTATGATAAAATTTTAGGCAACAGACATGGTAGGTCATAAGATTTGGTCATAAATGAGTTGTAAGAGAAAGACGTAAAAAAATAGCTCGTAACTTTGGGCTCCCTTAAATGTATACCCTTAGTCTTGTTGCAAGTTCTCCAATCAATTGTGGTGGTGTGTAATCTTGTGTAGTGTCAATAGTATACAAAATAGCTTAATTGCTTGCTTTGTCGGATAGAGTATGAAAATGCAACCACTGATGTTAGACCTTTCATATCGTTGAATTGTTGCAATCATGCGAACGGCAAGAGCTTGAGCTAATTAAGGAAAAAGATCCAAGAAAAGGACCACCAAAAAAATCAAATTGATTTATGATACTAATTGTTTTGATTAATATGTCTAAATTTTGGCTGCTAGAACCTAGAATTGAAGTACTTGCCGACCACTAGGTGTTTATCTCATTTTAAATTATCAATAACTTCATTTGTGTTACTAGAGTAATAGAGTACTTATTATAGTGATTGTAGGGTTGTAATAAAAATCAAATGTTCTAAGTTTTAAATTGACCAAGATCACATAAATTTTTATTTTATTTATGATGAGAATGTAATGTTTTTGGACTTCATACTCGATCAATCAATCAGATTACAGTTTGAGTGCCAATTGAATGGAAGATATTTAGTGTGGCCACGGATTTGCCTGCTAGTTGTATATATACTCCATATGTGGCCATGTATGGCTATATTATTGGGAGTTGTGAATTTGAGTAATTTCAAAATAGATGGTAATTACAAATTAGATGGTGCATTTCGGGTACACATGCATCGTTCTAGTGCACAAATCGAACAAGGCCTATGCACAATTATAGTAATATTATTAGTAATTGTAATATTTTACAAGTACAAAATTAGAAGCTAAGGTTGGTGTGGCAAATATTAACACGTAACGTTTGCCTCCAAGAATTAATGAATTTATAAAAGTTGCCGTATTTAGTTTAGTAAGTTTATAGTAGTATATTGCTTAGGACATCTCAAGGCCTGCTGTCACCGTTGAAATACCTTAACCCTAGCTGGCTACCGAGTCAACGACTTTGTTCATAATTAATACGAAGTTTTCAACCTACATACTTCCTCCTGTTTTGAGTGAGCTCCGAATACTTGTATTTGGGTCGGTAATGATTTATCATCTAACAGCATATTTGCACAGTCAACGCAAATTAATTGCTCTCGGGATTTGTCCGAGAATAACCGCTCCGATGCTAAAGTTAGCAAAATGGAATATATGAGTAAAATAGGTGGTTTGAGAGTGTTTTGGTTAAGAAAAATCGTACCTTAAGAGTGAGATATACTAGGCTATTTATAGAAATCTCCAAACTGGTGCCACATGTCGGTCCATGTAGTAGGTATGTCAAGTGGGCGGTGGGTGTCCACGTGATCAAATGCAATTATCCACGTGGCCGACTTCGAAAGCCGATATTGGTAATATGTCAGTATAAGAAATTATCTAAAAGACAGGATCCGACCCGATTTTTCTTACATCATATCGGTGTCGGTACCATCTCGTACACCTCCATTTATTTTTTACTGTAACTGTTATATTTTAAATTTTAATACGGAGTATATTAATTAAATATTATACTTTGACTAGTCATTGTAATTTATAAATACGATAAAATATTATCCTATGAGATTTTATTTAAAACGTCTCAATGTAAATTTAATTAATATATCAATTTTTATAACTTTTACATGTTGATATATAAAAGATATTAGTCGTAAAAATTAGGCATTGACAAACATGATAAAAGAAACGTGTTAACTATACTAGAATGAAGTATAAGAATGTCAGTTTTCAAACTTTGAATATAGTTTTTCAAATCCTTAATCCTTAGTCTTTGCATACTCTTTTAACAAATTAAAATGAATAATAAATAAATAAATAAATTAAATAAAATAAAAACTATTAATTTCTCAATACTAAGGCTCTGTTCACTTCACCTTATTTTTGCTGAACTGAAATTATTTTTACTAAAGTGAAATTAATTTTGCTAAACTTAAATTATTTTTACTTAACTTAAATTAATTTTACTGAACTGAATGAACTAAAATATTTTTACTGAACTGATATTATTTTTACTGAGTTCCTATTATATTTCTTCTTTAAAGTTACTTATTTTTTTACTGAACTGAACTTATTTTTACTGAATTGAAATATTTTTGCTGAACTAAAAATTATTTGAATATTATTTTTTTTTAAGGCGAAGTGAACATGACCTTATCTTCCAACATTATTTCTTTGCAAGATTATATACTTGGTGGTGTATTCTAGTTTGTTTTAACCAAGGTTATCAAAATCGTTAAT